AAATTAGTATATAAGAATATTTCAATCAAAAAAATTATAAACAAAGTTAATTTTAATTTTTCTTATTAGTATATAAGAGTATTTCAATAAAAAAATTATAAAATACGTTAATTTTAATTTATAAATATATATATATATGTAAATCATTTACATATATTGAACAGGGCCTCCCGTAACTTTGAGACGGTCCAATATAATTAAACTTAGTGTAACAAGGTAATTTTAATATTTATAAGGGATCAATATTAATTGCTTTAAACATCGAACTAAAAACATTATTATCATCATATATTGGTTTAAATCTGGATAATAAATTAAAATGTGAAAAAAAAATCCTAACTTTGATGGTTTGGTGGTAAGAGATCATGAAAAATATGTTTTTATTTTATATTGGAATTCAAATATGGGGAAAAATGTTTAGATAAATAAAAAATTATCTCCATCAACGTTTGATTCCGGATATAGAAATTAGTTGGGTTGAAGGTCGAATTAAACTCTTTGTTACCCAATAAAAAGAAGTGTGAAAAATATTGATATATTACAAAAGTTAAACTATGGATTGAGAGGGACCGGCAATTTATTTTAACAAATTAATGACTGAAAAATAAACAATAAATGAATAATAAGGGATAAAATTCCCAATCTTGCATTTAAATGTGAACAACTTTTATCGCCGAAAATACGGAAACAAGAGAACATGAAATTAATGTTTTTAATCAAATGTGACGTGGACCGGTGGACACAAACAATGTAAAACATGACATGGAGTAGTTGGCAGATGTGTGTATATGTGCAAATTCCACACACATATATATATATTTCTACGTGTATACGTACATAAGCATACATACATACACACACATATAATATATATATATATATATATGTGTGTGTATACACATGTGTATGTGTGAACGTGTGTGGGATATCTGAGCACAGCAAGGGGACAAGAATTACGACATATCCATCCAACTGATTCATGTCCACATGTCGAGCTCTTGGATTTTAACGAACACGACTTGACCATGCCATATCAACTCTTCATATTTATGTTTTATTGTCATCTCATCCATGAACATAAATTAAACATATATATATATATAATTGTCATAAAAAAAATATGCATATCATTTACCAATAAAAAAAAGTCATCAAAAGTATATTATTCACCATGAGAACTGAAAGCTGTGATTTTAACGTAACTTTCCAATCCATTTTTACACACAACGTGGGTCGATCTTCTTGTTTTTTTTTATATATTTATTTATAATTCTCGTAATAAATTGCATAGATTCAATTATAAATGGCAGTTTAAATATGTTTCTCTATCTGTACATGTATATATGTATTATTAACATGCACCTCTTGAGTATAGAACGGTTCCAGTTTAACACTATATCGTAAAATACACAAAAAAAAAATAATACATGAAATTATTAGAATCGAACCAACCGTTGGTGGGTTAGGCATGTCTCAGGATTAGACCTAGATGTTGCGTTGTATCCACCCCAAAAGGCTACTAGTGTCTTTTCTTGTAGGGTTTGGTTATATATGTGTGTGTATATATACACACATATATGACACAAAATTAAAAGCAGATATCTAAATCTTTGGTCCGACTAATAACGGAAAAACCACGTGAGTATGTGATAATTGAATATATACATAATAAAACCGGTCGATCTTCTCGTTATACTTCTTGTTGAATATTTTAGAATTTAGTTCAACAAAATTTTATAGATCTTTTTATTTGCGAAAAGGGGTAAGAATTAATAAAATCCCATCAGAAAAAAAAACAAAGAACAAACAAAATAATTTCTGACCAAATCTTATTTTAACTAAATTATATTAAGCATTATTCAAGTGGCGATCATCATAAAACGTACCTTGGAGAAGCAGCGATAAGAACAAGCCGTTCGAACAACTCGGGACGTTTAACGGAAGCAGCGCAGCCGATCATACCCGACATGGAATGTCCGACGAAGATCACGGGTCGGTCCGAGGATCCGGATCTCATTTCCTCCATTAGAAGGATGAGATCTTCCGCAAAGGGTTCGAAGGAAGTATACTTGAAAGGGTCGTAAAGGGTTTGGTCTTTGACGGCTCCGGAGAAGAGCCAGTCAAACACGAGGATCTTGAAAGATTCCGACAGGACCGGAAGAACCTTGTCCCATACCGTCTGGTCTCCCCCGAATCCATGAGCCAGGACCATCGTACGGTCTCCCGAGCCGATGATCCTGGCGTTCATGGCCACCGAGAGGCTGGGGTTGTTTTG